CTTCCATTCTGTCTTAGGGACAATGATAAGGGTTCTGTTCTAATAGGCACAGGCAGAATTAACTTTCCTAAATTACTAAGTTGTTTTATGATAATTTTTGTGCAGTCTCACTTTTATCCCAAAGAAAAGGGCACATGGGACAATAGGACAATTTTGTCCTGGAAAAAGTTCTTATGACATATGATATTGGAGTCACTATTAGAAGTTTCCCCAGAACAAGGTATGAGATTATTTCATACATGACCAGTTAATAGTACTGTATCAAGTGGGTAGTATCAAGCGTTCACAGACTGCAAAAGAACAAGTAAAGGGTCTCTTCCACCTGAAGAAACAAAAACGTTTTGTTTCTTTTCTTCTCTTTCAGCATGGATTAAACCTGTACTTGTCCTTTTGCTGTTAATAGTATGATGTGCTACTGCTCCGTTACTTCTTCTATAGCACAAGAGTCAGTATTCATGAGTCTGTTACAGAAGTGATGTTACCCTCTAAAAAAGAAAAACATTGTCAAACTCTGAATAGCACAGGATCTGGTTTTTGGAATTATCAGCTGTCTAGGAAGTGGCACCGTGCAGCCTCAGAGCCCATGAGTTATAGGGTTACACAGTGCTCATGCTACACTGGTGCCATAATTTGGCTGATGTCTATCAGTCACTAAGGCTCCTGCTGAGAATACTAGATGGAATTTAGCAGGGCAAAATTTGACAGGGCTTATGCACTGAACCGGTTACAGCCAAATACACTCCTCTGATGGGTTGACTGTGTAAAATAATTACCCTTTTTTATGTAGGGAGTGAAGCTGTACAAACTCAGAACCTGCAAGCAATTGGGATCCAACCCAGCAGGGACTGGAAGAACAAAATGTTTTACATAAGCAGTAAAACTCATTGTGCCTTAATTCTGCTTAAGCATTCTAAATAAATCTATCTCCTAGCTATAGAAGGTGATATAGATGTACTACGTCAAGGGGTATTAATTCACTATGAAGTAAGTGTTATTACTCTACATTTCTGCTCTGTAGAAAAGCCACTTAAGA